GTCTCGTGTCATTATTAAGCGAGACGCGATCGTGAAAACATGGCTACCGATGATAATGCCAGACCACATGCTGCTTTGGCGACTCGTCAGAAAATCGCAGAGCTAGGCTGGGAAATTCTGTCGCATCCAACATACTCCCCAGACCTAGCACCCTCCGATTATCACTTGTTCCTCTCTTTGCAAAACTTTTTACAGGAAAAAAATTCAAAACTGAAGCTGATGTCAACCAAGCGCTAGTTGACTCTAAAAGTAAATCATTTTTTAAAAATGGCATTTACAAGTTGCCGTCACGCTGGCAAGAAGTCATAAGTAACGATGGAAAGTATATTCTACAATAAATATTATTANAGTTGCCGTCACGCTGGCAAGAAGTCATAAGTAACGATGGAAAGTATATTCTACAATAAATATTATTAAATGTATGAAAATTGTGTTATTGTGTTATATTAATATTATATTAATATAATGTTATATATTAATATTAAATAAATATTATTATATCAATATTATTAATATGATTGATATTAATAAAAGGAAATATTCGTAAGTCGTTAGTGGACTGCGGATTCGATGCATTTATGTATCTCAATTTTTAGGTTAACGTACTTATACCGATCAGCATCCAAGCCACTATACAGAGTGCCCCAAAAATGTCTCGCAGTCCGAAAGTGGCGGGTTCCTCGGGTCATTTGAAGCAACTTTTTCCTTTACAAAAATTTTCTCCGAGGCACCGTCGACGAGTTATTAACGAAAAACTGTGACCAATGAGAGGCGAGCTCGGCTGGCGCGAGGTGGCCCAGCCAACGGCGCCAGCGGTCGAGCGGTCGAATCCCAGCTCAGCCGGCGCGAGGCCGTACTCGATTCTTATTGGTCACTGTTTTTCGTGAATAACTCGTTAACGGTGCCTCGGAGAACATTTTTGTAAAGGAAGAAGTTGCTTCAAATTATCCGAGGAACCCGCTATTTCCGGATTACGAGACATTTTTGGGACACCCTATATTACGATACGATTGATATACCGAAACAGTGCGACATAACGATTCGCGCCTAATACAACGATCCGCAACAATTCCATAATTTAACCCCGATACTGTTATTAACGCAAGGTCTTCTGGGAAGATACGACGCGCGCCGTCGTAGACGAGATAGGACTCGGGGTCTAAAATATATTCGCGAGCACGAGGGGTAGTCGAAATCCGCGGCGGTTCTCGCAAAATCCCGAACTCAGCGAGCGTATCCGTCTGTTACGGCCGTCTCCGGCAAATCAGCCGGAGAGAAAGCAAACCTTTATGCAAATCTAGAGTCAACCGCGTATGGCGCATAGCGTATCAGGGGCGCGCCCACTTCTTCGGCTCCAGAAACTCTCGGATAGTTTCTTTCGCAACAACTCTCGCGGGATCCTCGCGACCATGATTCTTTTTTCTTTATCGGCCGTAAACGTCCCGGGGCCCGCGCGGACTTCTGTCGGGGCACGATGCTCTTTATTTCGATGGCGAGGCGCGGGGAATCGTCGTCGCTAGGACCACCGAGAGCTCTATAACAACGATAAATCACGGCCGATCTCGCGAGACTGTGTTCATTAAAGTCGGCTAAAATCCCCGGGTCGAATAATTCCCCGAAATAGAAACCGTCGTCGATCAGAAACCGTCGAGCTGTTTATACTTGTCGTTTTATCATCGGAACCGCCGCAGGAGTCAAAATCATCTCGGATTCCTGCTTTTACGATTATTCAAGTCGTAAAGACGATTCTGGGGGAATTTATTCCGTGGCTCGATTCGTTTCGTACGCATACTAGAGTCGGATATTACTTGGACATCGGTAAAATGCATTTTCGGTATTTCCGTGATAAAAGCAAGTTCAGCGTTATTATTCTCGCATGATTTTTATAGCCGGTTATAAATTACAGGTACTTTGCTTATTTTCCCGCGAGGCCGGCGTTATGCGGAAAAATTCGTGTTTCACGCACGCGAAACGTTATTCATAATATTCGCGAACGAAATCGTTGGAGGATGTTGCGGCCGTAACTTCGCGGAAAAAAATCGCAGCCGCGTCTCTGTTTTTTTCAATTAATGGGAAAGGATCGAACTTCGTTTCGCTGCGAACGGCATTTCCGGAAAAAATTTCACGACGTCCATGTGTTTTGTCGAACTTTGAGAAGTTTCGGTGTGACAATTGGCAATTTTCGATGCGACAAGCATGGCCTCGCGTTTGACCGGTCACAGAGGCGAGGGTGCGCGAAACTTGAAATCGAGAAACAGCGTCTTAAAGTTAAGACTTCAAGCTTCAATTTGGAAAACGAGTCGTCGTCCTACGATGATTTCTCGCGAAGTTATCGTTGCTCGAAGTTGACCAATTTTTCTCCCCAAAATTGTTTCCACGAAATACTTTTCTCGAGCAGCGTATAAAAATACTAAATATTCGCGTAATTCTCGTCGAACCTTGACATATCGTTGGCTGAAATACGTTCTCAGCTATTCAGCAATTCTAAAATGAATATCATTAACCCCTTGACCACTGTCTTCGCAGTTATTGCGATTAGAAATCTTTCGATTGCAATAATTCCTTAGAAGGGAAAGAAAATTGATTCTTATTGCGTGCTTAAATTCACTCGAATGTTTAAATATTGATGCCAAGAGATTAGAATCTTGTTCTAATTTTAAAGGACAGAATAACATTTATGCTTAGTTATCGCTAAAAATTTTCATGACGAGTCGGATTCGTCAAAGCACGGCAAGGGTTTAATATTCCGTTGTTCCAGATGCAACAGCAATTTTTATTTTATCCGATCGCCCAGTCAATATATAAAATAATAATAATAAAATAATAAAATTAATAATAAAAATAATAATAAAATCATAAAATAGAAATGTGAATTAGAAATTTTAAAAGTAGTCTTGGCCAATCAAATTTCTCCCGAAATAGGAAAGACAGTATCAGAGAAGAGACGTCAAGTATCAGGACGTAAACAATAATTTAACCTTATATATGTTTAATACAATGTACTAGCAAAAATAAAAATATTTGTTTCTATGAACATTGATTTTTTTTTGCGACCCACCTAAAGTTAAGCATTGTTTATTCTGCCCAAGTCAGCTTTTGAGTTTGACACCCCCGGTCTAAGCGAACGATTCAAATATTCCGAGTCAGAATTGACACAGCCACCGCCTCGCGATGGTTAGCATTACGTCGGAACGGACGGGTAGAGGTGGAGCGACGACGGTTCACGGTGCGTCAGGTGAAAAAATCGGCCGGACATCGGCGGTGTTTTATCGTTATTCGAGCGACGGCTGGGCAGAGAGAGGGGCGGGGAGGTCGTTTCTTACCTGGTCGGGCCTGAGACCAGGCGGCACCCACGTGTACTCCTCGAGCGCGCATCCGCTGTCATCGTCGCTCTGCGAGTGCCTCTGATGATGCATCAGTGCCTCCTGGAGGGCGAGACCCGGCGGGGCCGGTTGCACGGGGCTCTTGAAGGGTTCCTGGTGAGAAGAACCGGCGGCCCCGCTCTGGAAAGCCATCGCCATGGCCATCGGCGGGCCGGGACCGAGGCCCAGTCCCGAGGGACCGCCCGCCTCCGTCGAAGTCCGCTGATGTTCCTCCCTGGGACACCTGCAGCTTCTGCACACTTTCCTGCAACCAGAATTCGGATCACGTTTAGCATAATTCGATGGCTATGGCCTACTTAATAACGCGGTACATACGAGTGGCCGATAAAACGATTCGATCATTATTATCGCGGCTTTCGACAATACGGAAACTTACGTTTTCGTAGATTTCTATATTTATTATATATAATATTTATTATTATAATATTTTATTTATTTATGTTATTTTTTATTTATTTTATTTATATTTATTATTATATAATATTATTATATTATTATTTTTATATTATTATATATTTATATATATTTAATATATATTTGATATATATTTAATTCTTGTTGTACATTTGTTTATCAAATTAAACGTTTATTATAAATTTATAAACTTACATTTTCGTAGATTTCTATAATATATATTATTTATATATATTTAATATATATTTGATATATATTTAATTCTCATTGTACATTTGTTTATCAAATTAAACGTTTATTATAAATTTATAAACTTACATTTTCGTAGATTTCTATAATATATGTATATTATTTATATATGTTTAATATATATTTGATATATATTTAATTCTCATTGTACATTTGTTTATCAAATTAAACGTTTATCATAAACTTATCTACTATTATAAATTTATAAACTTACATTTTCGTAGATTTCTATAATATATATTATTTATATATATTATATTTAATATAAATTTAATATATATTTAATTCTCATTGTACATTTGTTTATCAAATTAAACGTTTATCATAAACTTATCTACTATTATAAATTTATAAACTTACATTTTCGTAGATTTCTATAATATATATTATTTATATATATTATATTTAATATAAATTTAATATATATTTAATTCTCATTGTACATTTGTTTATCAAATTAAACGTTTATCATAAACTTATCTACTATTATAAATTTATAAACTTACATTTTCGTAGATTTCTATAATATATATTATTTATATATATTATATTTAATATAAATTTAATATATATTTAATTCTCATTGTACATTTGTTTATCAAATTAAACGTTTATCATAAACTTATCTACTATTATAAATTTATAAACTTACATTTTCGTAGATTTCTATAATATATATTATTTATATATATTATATTTAATATAAATTTAATATATATTTAATTCTCATTGTACATTTGTTTATCAAATTAAACGTTTATCATAAACTTATCTACTATTATAAATTTATAAACTTACATTTTCGTAGATTTCTATAATATATATTATTTATATATATTATATTTAATATAAATTTAATATATATTTAATTCTCATTGTACATTTGTTTATCAAATTAAACGTTTATCATAAACTTATCTACTATTATAAATTTATAAACTTACATTTTCGTAGATTTCTATAATATATGTATATTATTTATATATATTTGATATATATTTAATTCTCATTGTACATTTCTTTATGAAATTAAACGTTTATTATAAACTTATCTGCTACTATAAATTTATAAACTTACATTTTCGTAGATTTCTATAATATATATTATTTATATATATTTAATATATATTTAATTCTCATTGTGCGTTTGTTTATCAAATTAACCTTTCGCACTCGAGTGGCGACTCTATGGCGACATTAAAAATTGTTATTATCATATTTCAAAGTAATTTTAACATTATCAAATTTGATTGTATTTAAAAAACTGTAAAATGTGTAGCTGTTTCATGCGTCACAAAATTCACTTTCATATGTATAAAATGCACTAGTTTGCATAAAATGGAAGTGCTATAAGTCAGAAAAATTATTTCGAACTTCAAGTTAAAATGGCTCCGACTGCAAAGGATTAAACGTTTAT